TGTGGTAAATTTATAGAACAGTTTGCCCCTTTGCTTGTGCTTTCTTCGGGAGTCTGCACCTCTTGTATCTTTTTAGCAATATCAGTTTTGCTGGAAACTGACTCTTCTATATAACTTTCTGCCATGGTAGATGACTTCCATCCACCGTGGCGTTTGAGTAATATCCCCTCCAGCATTAGCCAAGAGAGTTACAGATGTGCGACGCCAGCCATGCCCTTTATATAAATTAGAATCTGTCAAGCCCAAAAATCGCGCAACAACATTAGGGATTTTTGATAGCTTATTAATATCAACACATTGACGTATGCATTTTTCGTTTTGAAAATTGCAAAAGAACCTTTTGTGCTATACATTTTGAGACCATAGCTTAGAATACTTTCTAATTAAATCAATTGGATTAACACAAAATCCTTCATTTAACACAGAGAAGCTTCTTGGTTTGTACATTTTAGTATTTGAAATCATGATGTGAATATATTGCCCTTTGTCCTCTATATTCTCTATGCTTAGATGGGTCAATTTCTCGCAACGGCAAGCGCAAAAAAACTCCTAATATCAACGCCACCTAAAAACAACAAATTTAATAAATATAACTCAGTTAAATTATTCAGTAGAATCTATCTTATTCATAAGATGATCTTTGTCTAGGGCTTCACGCAAAAATTGTTCGATTTGTTCTCTTTCTAAGACCTTGGATTTTTTTAATTGAAAATGTTTGTGCTTAAACTTTAGAAATGCCACTAGTCTTCAGAATTTAGAAATTTCAATGTTCTTGTAAACTCTCAAAGTTGATTTCAACATGGAATATTTAGTCCACAATGTGGAGGGAGCATTTAAATTGAAAAAATAAGGCATCAAGACATCTTTATTTACGCCTTTCGCCCCTTCTTTGATTTTCCAATCTTAAAATTCCTTCAGTTCTTTGTTGTATATAGATTTTGATTTCTCCTTAGCTTTTTCTAAATCTTCAGATGGAATTTCCACATTTTCCACTTTTTCAGTCTTGGTTTTAGGTTTTCAACGTGATTTCAACTCAATAAATATTGTTTGTTTACCACAGATCAGTAATTTACTGACAACCCTTGGTTACAGACACAATTTAGGTTGACACTGGCATCCTTTGTAGAAATACATTCATTTCGTTAAATTAATTTTTCTGACATTGACAACCAGAAATTTTAAGTTACTTTTATTTATTATTAAAACGAAATTCTATGAAAGTGTTAGATAACATTTTGTATGGCACTCCTGTGTTACGTCATATAAGTCACTTGGGAAAACATTTCCCAGCGTGACTTATAAAATATGTTTTAAATTAGTAGTTAAGAAGCATTTGCTTAGGTTTTGCTTTTATACAGTGGAAGATTTTCTGACGATGCCATATTACGAATAACATCTATTGCAGTAGATTAATGTCTGCGTTATTTATGTTGTGCGTAAATTTTTGTTTTTTTTTTAGTAATTTTATTTATGTATACATAATAGTTTTTATCTTTTTGTTTTTTGTGTATTCTGACTTGCCATAAATGTATTATTGCATATCAAATGGTCAAATAAAGCTATCTAATATCTATACAATGTGACCCAGAAGCAATGCAAAAATTTCGTATTTTATTTTCTATCACGCGCACTCGCTATGGGTCCTATAGTGTAGGGGTTTAGGTGCACGGAAAGTGCTAGATAGTACAACAGCGTGATGTTATTTTCATAGCGCTATGAAAATAACATCACGCTGTTGTACTATCTAGCACTTTCCGTGCTAGACCCCCTATGCTATAGATCCCATAACGACTCGCACTTGTGATAGAAAATAGTATGTGCAACTCGTTTGGAAAAGTTGCCATAGCGCCACTTGGGCTCGCTCGTGCGTCAACTGCGTCCGCGTGGCGCTATTGGCAACTTTTCCCCACTCGTTACACAATGTACTATTGTGTTGCGTTTTCACAAAAACGCTAAAACACGTCAATTGGTAAATAGGAATTATCATTTTGTCACATTATTTAAACCTTGTTGGCACTATGTTTCATAAACCTATGACGTCATCGACATTTTTTTTAATGGCACTACCTAATTTTTTTAAGCATAAATGGATAGCCCTTTTGACGGGAAATGCATCGATATAGGGTTTGGCCTACTTTACTTTGACAGGAGCGAAAAAAGCCATTCCGGTCATGGTTTAAAATAACAACAAAAGTAGGTATCATAAATTGATGCGAGAACAGTGCCACAGCAAAAAAATGGGAATTTGTAGATGTTTAGTGTTTTGCTTGATTGTAGCTACATGTTTTTATGTATTGATATGTTGGCCTTTACGGCGATAGTGCGAACGGCAGTGTGTGGATTTTCTGTGACAGCTAACATATCCAGCGTCTTCAAATTTGCGTACTAATCTGCATACTGTAGACGGAGGTATTGGTTGTTCTGGATACTTGGCATTGAATAATTGACATACTTCATCATAACTACGGATCCTATCTCCGTATCCAACCATAATTATGATTTCAATTCTTTGTTTCTTATTTAAACGCAACACCATCGTAATATAAAGTTATGGTATTTGTAACTGTCACAATGATATGAGGCACTATTGCATTCGCTAACTGTCCTCTTCAAAACAATGCCTATATAGTCGCGGTGATCCACATAAATACATGTAACCAAAACATTTTTTGCTGTGGCACTGTTTTCGCATCAGTTTGTGATAGGTATCTACTTTTGTGGTTATTTCAAACCATATCCATTCCAATCGTTGGCTTTTTTTCGCACCTGTCAAAGTAAAGCAGGCCAAACCATATATCGACACAATTCCCTTCAAAAGGGCATCCATGCTTAAAAAATTATGTCGATGACGTCATAGGTTTATGAAACATAGCGCAAAAAAGGTTTAAGCAACGTGACAAAACAACAATTCCTATTTACTAATTGACGTGTTTCCTCTTAGTAATTCTAAGCGTTGTGCTCCGATCTCGTATTAGTGACAATATTTTGTTGAAGTAGGATGTTCGCACTAGACCTATATTTTAAAATGTTTAATCTGTTAATTGTCTTTGTCGCACCTTTCTCACAGTTGGAGAATTTTATATTTCTTTAACGACTCAAATTCTTTATTTTCTCTTAATTCTTTGCTCTTAGGGTCCTCTGCTTTCTCTGGTAGGATATTAAACTATACCTTAATTTTTATTTCTCTTTTCAATGGCTAAATTCATTTTATCAATATTAAGAACTGTGTATTTTAACTTGTGTCTAATTATGTACTATTATTTAAGTTTATCACTCGTCCACTTTTATTGATTGGAAAAAAATCTACTATAATTAACTATTTTTGACTTAGTAACACTCACTAATTACCTTACTACTTATTTTTATCATGACTCCGTACTTCAACATCTTCTTTCGGCACAGCGCATGCGCGTGTATGTCTGGCAAAAGATGTCCACGCTAATTAGTCTTTTTAGAAGAAATAATTCATATACAAATAATATTTTGTACAGGAATAGTTTATAGGGGTAGAAGTAAGGACCCGAAAAGCAACCACCCTTTTTTCACGAAAATCTACCCTCGGGCGGGACTTAACTACGATTTTTCGTGTTTTTCTTCGAAACCGTGATAGTTTCTGACGAAAATGTTCTCTATTAAATTACGTATTATTAACCTATCCCCCAACCGATTTCCTTCTATCGGTGTTCAAATTGGGAGGTGAAAAATGTGAAAAACATCAAAAAATAAATTAAAAAAGTGACCCATGATGTGGTAGAGGAGATTCCGCTCTACAACTTTGATTCTAACCACTTTCTACGTTAAAGCAGCCGTTTTATAGATATTTGCTCTAAAAAATGATATAGGACCGATTTTTTGCCGAACGCTCCAAACTACTCCCCGTGTAGTTCATTACCAATTTTGTAATAATCATATGCAATTACGACAGAAGAAGGTTATGACAAAAAATTAACGAAAAGTTAACTTTAGGGTTATGTAATTCTGTTAACATTGAATTTTTCGAAAGTGTCGTAAGTACTTGGACTGTTATTTTTATATTCAAAATTTTTTACCCATAGCTTCCGGACAGCCTGTATAGAAGATGTTAAATTAAACTACAAATTTTTATTTTTGAAATCCATGTTTCCAGAAAAAGAAAACCGACGGGGTAAGAGGGACAACTTTCTGGCCGTGAAATAGGACCATCATTGTAAATCTTCATTTGAGGTCATTTTGTACAATTTTTTTTGGTACATATAGTTCTCGCCTTCACATAAACTTCGTAACCTCGAAACCTTATAACACGGTAAGAAAGAGGCTGTGTTTGCCATGACGGCATGCTCGCCGTTATCCAAGGTCACTGCCAAACGACGGAATAACTCCATTGCCCACCGTCAACCACGTGGGTTGCAAACACACGAATAAGTAGTACAACAATGATGTACGAAGTTTCGATTCTGAGAGTTCGTGCATAAGTCTATTCTTGACTGGGTTTTGTGGTTATGAGAAGTAGCACATATGGCTCGAACATACAGTGTTTTAGGGCTTAAACTCTCTTACTTACCAGGTTATGGGTGTCGGAGTTATGGGGTTTCGAGGTTACGGGATTAAGGGGCTATGTGGTTATAGGATCAAGAGGTTATGGGGTTATAGGGTTATAGGAGTTAAGTGGTTAATAGATAGAGGATTTACTGGGTTTTTGGGCCTATTTTTTTGAGGTTATGAAAAATCTTGACGTGATGAGGTTAAATTGACCCCGGATTCGAATGCAGCAACCCCGAAAACATATAGTGGATATAGTCAGACCCCAGAAGTAATTTTTTCGATTTTTTTTTGGGGAGCTGTGTAGTGCTTGACTAATCCTTTGACGCAAAGTTTTATTTAACTAATTTTTAAAAAAATTTTTCGCAGATGACAAAAACCCAAAAATAAAGAAAAAACGAAAATTATGCCAAAAATAAATATCTTCAAACATTATTTGTAAAAACCTAGAAACAAACATTTGAATCTAAAGCTCCATTATAATGTTACAGGCATATATTTATAAATCGACTGGACAAAGTTTCAATTCTGGTGGTGACCATGCAGCCTGTGGTCGGCCTTACCGTTCTGGACGTATGTATTTACCGCCTTGTGATATGAGGAAGCAGGGTTTCTGTAATACACCTGGGAATACTTACCCTTGGCATGCTGTTAAACGATTTGTTCGTGATAATCAAGGCCTTATGAGAAGAATGTATGGTGATCAACGACATGGTCACGTTTTAAAATCCGAATTTCATGATGAAGGTTTTTGGAATTCTGCAAATGAACCGTCTTTATCGTCTAAATATTATGAATATCATGAACAAGATACAGATAACGATTTAGTTCAAGAAAATAATTTAGATCTAGATGAAAATGAAGCTAGATTATTTCCTGAAAATGTCGCTAATGAGGATGTTCTTAATACTAAATTTGTTTTTTCTGAAGAGCCTATACTATCAATAAAATTATCAAATTTAAAAACCGTACATTCCTTTAGGCATACTACACAGAAGACTCCTAAAAGTACACTAACTGAAAATGAAATAAACACTTTAACCGAAACTACGGATATCGGTACAACTTCAGAGACAACTATTCAGCAAACTATATCAGCTGGTAATAATTTAACTAATGTCGACAGTAGTACAAAAACGTATATGAAACCTGAAGAAAATACTTTCAATGAAAATGGTGAAAAGAAAGAAACAATATTATTCCAGGATATGGAGGAAAAGAAACGGCCTATAAATTTTAACCTGAAAGGAGTGTAAGTAGAATCCTTCAATTTAGTTAAGGTTTTTACATTCTTGTATTTGAAATTGCAATTTATTTAAGTCTTTGGTACAGTGCCTTCATAAATGCCTAAGTCGTGACAGCGACCGTTAGGCAACCAAACTTACACTGAAGGCAATGATTAACACAAAATTCTCTAAAAGAGAATAGTTCACAACTTATAACTTTAATATGCAAAGTGGGTTTCTGTTTTGAATGGAAATAAATTATTTTTTTACATGTTTACTTACAAAATAATCAAACTCCTCCTAGATATTTTGAATTGTATTTTTTTGATTGATGATTGACTTTTTAAAATATAGGCTCTTTTGTAATCTACTTTAATTCAGAAATGATGGAAATACAGTAGAAAAAATTGCAGTTTTATTTTTTTCAATATTTAAAAAGAAATTCTAGGTAAATGAATTTACCTTACAACAATGCCATCATAAACACAAAGTTTTTTAATCAACTACCAAAAACTTTAAGATTTATAATAGATGTTTGAAATTACTATATTTTTGTTTTCCAAACATAAATTTATTCTGCATTGCATGCATTCAAAAATACAAGTTCATTTGGTATTTAACGTTTATTTCATGTTCAATTTCCGCTTCTAGCTCTGCAAGTGTGTGGAGAGGATTGTTTAAATATTTTATTTTTGGTGTGGATATACAGATAATAATCTGAAGATGTGAGATCAAGGCTTCGAGTAGGCTACAAATAACTAGTACTTAATCAGTCTATCACCATAATATTCCTGAAGATATCCTATAGTTTCTGCTACGGTACGTGCTTGCTGTAGCTCCATCTTGTTGAAAATAGCCATGCTGCAGCATAGATGAACTGCAGTTCATCGTCATGCATTAATTCCAGGGCTGTTGTAAAATGCTATGATATCGTTCTCCATTTACTACTTCTCGAAAAAAAAAAGTATTACGTCTATATATATGTCTTCTTGAAACTGCTACCCATATATCTATCTTCTGAGGATGTAACGATGATTCAATAAAATTATGTGGATTTTCTGCAACCAAAGTTCTACATATAATACTGACCATTGACAACACTCGTTGGTTGTGATTAGAAAGAAGTAACACAACAGAAACCTAATAGAGATGCATATGTAACTGCTTCTTTAATGCCTTGTGACAAGTCCCAACTGATATACTTACGGACATATTATTAATACGAGTATAATGTATAATTATTTCTTTTAAGTACTTACACGAATTACTCAGCGTAAAAAAAATACATTCTAAGAAATCGTATTATAAAATTTTCAAAATTATAAGTCAGATTATCTACTTCTCCTTTTTGGTTGTCGCTGAATTCGAATCGATTTAAGCCCATCACGTCAGGTTTTACCAATAATCCTATATAACTTCATAACCTAAGCTGTCAAGTCCCATTACACACAACGATCCCGTAAAGGGACCTGTGCACCCACAATAACCCTATAGTCCTATACATTCAACCTCAAACCTTCTAGCCCCATAACCGATAACTCCAATAACCACGTTAGTAGTTTAACTTGATCTCTTATAGTGAGATATATTAAGGCTCTATAAACAGAATATATTTAACCCTACCAACCCTATAACTCCAATAACCACGTTACGCAGTAGTTCGCATGGCATGATTTTTTTGAAATTGACGGATAATCTATTGAAGATGATGTAACTCGGAACCAATAACGATCTGTTTATATCCCGCGATGAGAGATCAAGTCAAACTACTGAGTAACGTGGTTATTGGAGTTATCGGTAATGGGGTTATGGAATTATAAGGTTATGGGATTAGGAGGTTTGAGGTTGAATGTATAGGATTATAGGGTTATTGTGGTTGCACAGCTCCCTATACAGGATCGTTATGTGTAATAGGACTTGACAGCCTAGATTATGAGGTTATTGGTAAAACCTAACATGATGGGGTTAAATGGATAACGAATTTGGATTCAGCGACCCCAAAAACATGTGGTGGACATTGTCTGCCTCCAGACTCGAAAAACAAAACGCTTTCTTCCTCAGAAGTAATTCTGAAAGTTTTCGTGATTTTGAAAAGAGGAAAAAAGTATGTACTTATGCTAATGAAATTTTTGAAAATGGAAAATATGAATTTAAATAAGTAGCATTGTTTAATTCTGAATGATAAACCGTAATCGTATAAGTACATTTCGCCAAGAAAAATTTGCTTCATCACTGCACGAATTATTTTCGTTTAATTACGAACATAATCTTTTCAAATTCAAAATTTTAGTTTTGAGTTATTTTAAGAATTACATTTGAAATACGTTTTATTAAAATAAGCATTGAAATTCATGGGATGAAATATTTACATCTAGTAGGTGACGGTGACAGCAGTGTTACGAGAAAATTAGCAGATGTTAGTTCTGTGACGAAAGTTGAATGCAGGAAGCCATGGTGAAAAAATCTGTTTATTTAAAAGAGTTTTTCCACGGTCGGGAGTAAAAATCAGTTTCTATGACATCAAAATTAAAACAGAAGTAGTCGATTATTCCCAAGGGAGTATAATGCTCCCAAGGGAGTATAATGCTCCCAAGGGAGTTTACATTATGGAGAACGTTTAAATTATTTATTGACATTTAAATTAAATGTTACATTTGTACAATTTTCAAAATTAATATTAGAAGGAATATTACTTTCGCTTACATTTACAGTTTTTGTGATTGCGCTAGTAGTGGTACCTACTAAAACCTGATTAGCAATTTTATTATTTTCAATGGAGTTCTCGACATAACCCTCAGCGACTGTCGTTGATTTCCAACCAGCATGCCGCTTTATTGTCGTATATCCACACCAGCATCTGCCAGGTCATCAGGTAATTTTAAATACGAAGCTACTATACTCGGAATTTTTCCCATGGTATTCTTGCCAACTGGCTGCGAACTACATTTTCCTGCTTTGTAGCACAAAAAAGGCGCTTATGCTTGACGTGGGGAGGACGAAGGGACAGGTATTTTCGAAACAATTCAAGCATATTTCCCACATCGGTAACCGCAAAGGTTCGTGGAATCTTTGTCTTAGTGTTTGGAACTTTTACAATCAAGGAAGAGCCTACATCCTCAATATCATCTACAGTTAAATTGGCTAGTTCATCAGTTCGACAAGCTCCGGTAATCCCCAGAATTAATCCAACCTATAAAAAATCAAAATACTTAATAATTGAAATACCTAACAACAAAAGTAATCTTACCTTAATCATTAAGAATTCTTTGTCATCTGCACTTGATAGAAAACGGTCGATTTCACCCTTTGTCAATATTTTCGATTTTTTCGCTTGATATCCGTCACAAGTTCTTTTCAAAAATGCGATCAGCTTGGGGAATTTGCTTATATCTATGTTGTCGTAAATTATCAAGCATGACTTAACCATAGAATATTGCGCCCATAATGTGGAAGACTTGTAATTCTTTCCATTTTCACTGAAGTATGCCAATAAAACATTCTCGCTGTATACTTGAACATTTTTCTCGGCGCACCACTTTTTGAACCGATTGTAGGCTATATCGTATAAAGATCTTGACTTCGTAGGCAGCAAATTGCTTATTGCAATATTTACAGCCTCCACAATCTCTTCCGACTCACAATTATTCATTGTGCACTAAACAAACTTTAAACTAAACCAAACTAGCACCTTAATTTGACAATTATTTTTGTTTGTTTATTTTGTAGTTATGAAAATAACTCAACGACTACTAAATAAATGCTCAAATCCGAATACAATAATTCTGGTGCTACTTACTTCATGACAAAATATGTGTTTTTAAGTTAATGAGACCGTGGAAAAAATAGTATATACCATTCGGGAGAGTGCTATTTTGTCCTCGGTGCATTGTAGCCCTCGGGCTTTGCCCTCGGGCTTCAAATTGCACCTCTGCCAAAATAACGCATTTGTCTCCCTTATAGTATAATGTACTATACAGGGTGTTCCTAAATAAGTGTCGCAACGGAAAATTGTAAATTCCTCTTGAAAAGAGGAATATTTTTTTCCTCTTCCATTTTTCTTTCCGGGCTTTCGTTTTCGAGATACACGGTGTCAAAACTTTTTTTCATATTTTTGCCAATATCCTAGGAACCGTTTGAACTATAGGACTGAGCTTTTGTACACATATTACCACTATTAATAGCTACTTGTTGCAAATGTTGTTAAATTTCGTTAAAATTGTTAATTATTACTAGGTATCTGTCTTTTGAATTACAAAAGATTCTCGAAACGTTAGCAAAATGTTTGTTTTTGTTCATAAAAAGTCATTTTTCTTGAAAACGGTTGACTTTAGAGCAATAAACCAAGCAAACTCTCTTTGTGTAAAATTCATTGGCGCTTCAGAATTTGCTGTCAAATGTCAATTTTTCCAGTGGCGTAAAAGTTAGGGGGGAAAACCCTTACCATACCTTAAATCTCCACCACTGGCACATTCAATGAATTCGAGAAAGGTGCAAAAAATAGCTATTAATAGTGGTAATGTGTGTACAAAAACTCAGTCTTGTAGTTCAAAAGGTTCCTAAGATATTGGCAAAAAATTTTCAAAAAATGAAAGTTTTAACACGGAGTATCTCGAAAACGAAAGCCCGAAGAGAAAATGGAAGAGGAAAAGAATGTTTCTTGTTTGAAAAGGAATTTACAGTTTTCCGTTGCGACACTTATTTAGGAACACCCTGTATTTATAATGAACCGTCTCATATCTTTGACATAAAATGCAGCAAATGTTTTTGTTTTGAAAGTTGTTGAAAGTCTTGTTTTAAACATAGATAGTAATATTACGGGATCATAATAATGCAGTTCTTCAAAATTCGTTGGCAGAGATAGAGTTAATTTCACGACAAGATGTGAGGCAGCAGCGATCGTATAACGTTCCAACTAGTGAATTTCCTCAAATTATTTATAAAAAAAAATATGTAATAAGTCCAGACGTATATTCAAAGAAAATCATTAGCACACTTGCCAAATAAGCAAAATGGATAAAATAAAAAA